GCTCTGATTTGTGTTTTCTTAGATGTTGTGTAAATGCCTTGCTACTGTTACTCATATCTGCAGTTGTAATTAAGTCTTGTTCAATCAAATCAGGTCGCATGAGGGGTTCCCTGATTACTCTGCAGAAATTAGTTCAGCTGTTTCCCAGTGATACGTCATTCAAGAATGACCTTGGTGTTGGTTACCTCTTGATAGGAGATAACAGCAATGCTAAGAAAGTATATGAAGAGGTGAGTTTCCATTCCATTCAAGTAAAAATATTTGCATTCATATGTTCATTCTAAAGATCAATTGATTTTAACTTTTTTTAGTTGTTAAACATTTCACATGTGAGGTTTTGAAGGGTTAACATAGATGCAATTTTTTTTCTAATACAATTATATTCTAATTTTAATTCAGATATTCTGGCACTGTTATGCTAAGTTTTTCCTCATTGACAGAGAAATGCAGATTTGTTTCATGTGCTTAATAATATTTGAAATCGTACACTTTCTGGTAGCCAGATTTGGAATATATTGACAACACATGTAGACGTCTTGTATGTAATGTGTAATATGTAATGCATAGTATTAAAAAAAAAAACAATCTGCAAGACAAGGAAAGCAGAAGCCAGTCTCTTTACAGGAACAGCATCTCTAAGCATGCGATCAAGTAGTTCAGTCCTCACACAGCTATTTAACCTTCGCTTTTTCATACTTTTGTAGGCAGCTTAAATTCTGTTTTTCTTTCACAATGTTTGCAGTGTGGAAGATTCAGTGCATTTTTATTCTTGTCTTATACTATGGTTATTTGGCTGGGGAAACTTCAGTGCCAGGAAGGGCTGCTCTGCTCCTGTGATCTGGAAGCCCTGTTAACATCTGGAAACTGTCTGACAGATGTGGAGCCTGACATCACTGGTAGAGCACATGCTGTCTGCTCCTGACCAGAGAGTCTTGTTAGTCTTGGCACACGTGTTGCAGGGCTTGTTTAGTACAGGCCTGGTGTGGTAACTGGCCGGTTATGTAGGCTGGAGAGGAGTCAGCATGGTTAGTACCACCTCCTGAGAATAAAGGCCCACTTGTCCATCCCCCACATCTGGCACTCTGAGGGGATTCTCGTCTCTGGTAGTTTCTCAGAGAGAAGGAGGACTTTCAACCACATGGTTGGAAGTAGGAGCCAAAAGCTAGTAATACTATTTTTTTCTCCTCAAGCTCCTCTGGTAGTCTCAGATGTTGCCAAAATAATGTTTGCCTTGCTACTTTGTAGGTTCCTCCATAAAACATGGCTGTTCAATAATTTTTGTCAAAATTTCTCAGAGGATTAGAAATATCAGCTTTTAAAGATAGAATTTATTGACCAAACCTGCAAGGAACTTGAGAAAATAGAGACGTATTCCTTTTGGACAAGATTTTCCTTTGCAGTTAGTCAGTGTTTTGCTGCAAACAACTGTTAAAAATTCTCAATATCAATAATCACAGGAATTTTTATACATGGAAGAAGGTCATGAGTTTGCTATATAATTACTTTGACAGTGAGTTTTATATACTTCAGAAGAAATGTATAGTGCTCTGACTAAGAACAGATATGTAAAATAAGATCTGGTGTGCTTTTAATATATTGTTTTCCATTCTTGTATGGACTTTATCCAGTGTAATTACTCTGTTTTGCAGTTCACTAACCACTGAAATAGAATAGCTCATAGTGGTGTTCTGTTCTTGTAAAAGAACAGCAAATACTTTTTTTTTTTTTTTTTAATCATATGGTTTTGTCCATATTCTGGGTATTCCTCAGGCTGAATTCCAACATATTAATGTAAATTTGTTGTTGTAACTCAGGATGCTAGTGTATCTTAATCCTAAACTAAGGATTTTAAGAAACAATACATAACCAAAGAAACAGGGAGAAGCTCATGTGTACCTGCTTTCATTCTTGGTTCTGCTGAAGGCTTCTTACATGAGTTTTGGCAGATTTGTTAGGGCCTACCTGGCCTGCTCTGGAGTACTTTGCTCAGCTGTTGAAATGCATATTTAGAAAGTGATGAGCATATTCCTCCTGTAGGTGCTCAGATTCCCTGCTCAGTTAGAGAGGGAGGCAAACTGTGAATAGTGGTTCCAGGGGCCTCCACAAGACATCTTGCTCTTCCCATGATTTTTGAAAAATTTGGAAAACTTCTGTAGTGTGACTAAATCCTTTTCACTAGTGTAGAACAAATTAATCTTTTGATAGAAAAACATAAAAAAGCACAGACAAGAGCATGAGCTCAGTGCTGCACAGTGGATGCCTCCAATATTTATGAATTCTGGGTTCCATGTCCCACTGTAAGGATGTTCATACATTTTATTCAAGTGTTCTTTAATGCAGAAGGCATGAACACTTAGGAAGACAGAGCAGAGTTAAGGACACATCCTCAAGAGAACATACCCCTTTTTCAACTAAAGTCTCAGCTCTTTGCTGATTCCCCTCTGGTCTCGTTCTTTTCTTCATGGTTGTCTGACTTCTTGTCTTATGTGGTACTTGTTTCTGATGCTCAGGGAAATCCCCAAGTAGTTAAACAATCTTCTTTGCAGGAGAAGCTAAACTCCAAATTTCCTGGGAATCTGCTAGTTGGGAAAAGTTTCTTGCTGTAACATTTCCATCTTAATGCAGTGTTACCTGTCTGTCTTAAGCAGGGACTGAACACATGCAACCAGCTGGACCCTTCACAGGCACCATTGCCTATATGGGATCACAGGACATCGTATTTCAGACCGTAGCTCACATCATCTCCAAGGAACTGAATAGAAGCCGAAGGAACCCTAGTGGATGAAAGTTTTCTGCTTTTGCTTTACATCTAATAGCTAGTTTACTTATTTTTCCATTCAGTTCTTATTTTTCTTTCCAAATTTTTTAAATCTTAGCAGCTTATTTTAAATGTCTTTAATACGTATTCCTTCTTTTGGCTACAGAAGCAATGCATATAAACACTGAGCTTCAGATCAAGGGATTTTTTTTAATTCCAGATGTGGTGTGGTGTAATCTGACTGACTCAAAATACTCTTTTCTAGAATACGTTTGCCACAATTTTTGCTGAACCTCAGATAGAAAATGGTGTCAGACTGGAGAGAATTTCAGTTTTGCCTCTAATATTAAAGCATTTTCTTTTGAACATTACACTCAGGGACATGGAAACATAATGTTAAAGGTAGTCCTAGTAGAATTCAGAGCTATTTTTATTTTCAAAGAAAACATAACATTAAAAGTAGTCCTAGTAGAATTTAGACCTATTTTTGTTTTCAGAGATATACAGAATATAAAAAATACAGCAGAAGAGAACTTTTTAGGACCAGTTACTCTGCTAATAGCACTTATTCTGCCTGCCATGCCGAGGCACATGTGCATGGCTCAGTGCAGCATTATACAGACATGCATAAGCCAGCTCTGAGCTATCTCAGGTACCAAAACCACAATATCCACATTAACACAGTACTCTGCCTTGGCTAATTAGCCACTGATAGCCCCAGAGGTTAATATCTATATTCATGATTAATATTTAATGGGCTGTGAGCAGTTTAGTAAAACTTATTTCTAAACATAATTAATATTGCATGGAGCAACAGCAACAGAGTAATACAATTTACATTAAATACTTCCAGTGTAATTTCTGCTGATTGTATCTCTTTGCTTCTCTTTAGGGGCTCTGAATGTAGATCATTCCTTAATGCAACTCGGCAGAGTTCAAATGAACCATAATACAGAAAATTCTATTCTGTCTTAATTAATCAGGTAGCTTTATTCTATAGTTAAAGAAACTGCAACAAAATTATATGGCTAATAAATATTTCTGTCAGTCATTTAATTTCACCCTGCAGGTACAGATTCTTGGATCAAAATAATTATACACAGAATGCTGAAAGACAAAAGGCGTAAAATGCATAAGGTGGTAGTGTATTCTTATATTAGGGATCAAGTTCATCCTTACTACAGCACTTTTTGCTAATAATGTCTCATATTATGGACTCCAGATAGATTCTCAAATTGTTTGTTCCCTCATAGTAACTCTTTTGTGCCAAAAGAAGTGAAACTCATATCATTTTATGCCCACATTGCTATGATTTTGGTTTTGCTTGGATGTATTTTGTATGTAATAAGGTCTGAGGAAAGAGAGAAGTTGGTCCAGACAACTTGTTATGGTTTTGCTTGGAGTTGTTTTGATTGAAAAATGAGGTTAGACAGTGACTGGAAAAGGCGGAGGGAAATAATTATGATGTATGAAGGCATTTTATCCATGACATTAGAAATGGATTTAGGCAAGAGAAATTGCTCATCTGTCCGTTGTTGTGTATTTAGCAGCTGTCTAGACATTCAGTGGGTATCAGCCTCTGTAATTCCACTGGCTGCTGGGCTCTTGTGATGATCCTCAGACTGAGGGTCTGTCCAGATAAAACTGTCCACCCTTATTTTAAGGAGAGAAGAAGTGTAAAAACAGATTAACTTGACCATGTAATTGATATCACATAGAGCTACAAATTATATTGAATGCATATATCATAGAAATGCGGTGCTGGAAAGTAGATCAAGACATTCTCTAGTTTTCCCCTTGGCTGAGGCAGACCAAATGCACTTAAATCATCTGACTGATGTTGGAGGTGCATATTTCAGAACTCAGGCTGGACAACTTCACACTTCCTTCCCCTGAAACATTGCCCCATACACTGATCCTTTTCTACAGCTGTCCCTGTACTCACAAACCTTTCCCTTGCACAGTCCCCATGAAATACCAGTCTCTGGATATTTGCCAGTGACTTTTCTTTTTCTGCAAAATTAAGCCAGTTTGTAACTCAGATATTATCTGAATCTTGTTGAGGGTACAAAATCTTTTAGCTTAATTTAGTGTGTTTGGTCTTGGCCAAAGAGCACAGCACACAACTATACAAGAATAATTTATCCATCAGCATCTACTGTGAAAGCACATTGACTCACTGCTCACCTTCTTTCTCTTGGCTGGGGAAATGCACATTGTTCCAGAGAGTGCTTCAATTTGCCATTGTGCTGAGAATGTCCTTGATGTTCCAGGGTTTGTATTTCCCCATCATGTGATGCAGGTGTTACTTCACACCTTCTTTTCATTACTTTACAGCTTCTTTCTAAATTGTAGTCACTATGCTTCACATCACAGTATGTTTTCTCTTGCAAAAACTAGTTTGCCACCAGTAGAAACCCACCTAATTTTAAACTATTTCAGATATATTTCTATACTACACTTTCTGTAAGTGTGCTGTAGACTTTTTCAAGAGCAGCTGCTTTCCTTCAAATTAGTCAAACCTGGGATAAGTAACTTAAGTGTTAATGAATGGGTTTAATGCTGTAATGTATCATGCTTTACCTCAAGACAGAGGATGGGAAAGAATGGACAACTGAAAATTAATTTTTCCTGTTGGAATAATTTTACTTCGAAGATTTCAAAGTTTGAATTGTCATAGAGTTGTCTGGACAAGCACAAAAGTGAATGGAGGAAAGAAAGTACAGACAAGCCAAAAGATAACCTGAGTCAGTAATGGAAGCAGATGTCATTGCATCACTAAATAGTAGTACTTGCACAGGTTTGTTAATTTACATAGATCCATACAGGTATATTTTATTTATTTGTTCTCAAACAGGTTCTAAGTCTGGCTCCAAATGATGGCTTTGCCAAAGTACATTATGGCTTCATCCTGAAGGCAGAAAACAAGATAGCAGAGAGCATACCCTATCTACAGGTACTTTATCACCCACAGTAAATGTTTTACCAGAAAAAAGTAAAATTGGAATGTATGAGATGTGTCAAACTAGAAACATGCTAAGTGTGAATCACTGTTTAAGCTACTTGTTGGAGTTATATTGTCGTATCCCTGCATGTGGACTGGAACAGAGTTGTACTCCTCAATTCTTAAACATCGAGTATTTGTTTAATTCATGGTTTACCCAAAGTACATGGCTCTGAGCCTCAAGTTGTTTTGAGGTTGGCAGTATGCTGCAAACCTAAGGTTCTTGAAAGATCCAGAGAAGGCTTGCTGTGTATACTTCTGAGTGTTTGAAAAGAAATACTACAAGATAAAACCTTAATTCAGCTTTCTAAAATGCTTGTGTATATGTTTATAGGGTCAGGGACAAATGCACATCTCTGAATACACCTCTACCTTAGAGGGATTGAGGTGATAGGCCATGGGACTTGGAAAACTGTTAACATTTCTCAGTGACTTTTTACTGACTTACTGTATTCATTTAGCTTAGCTTAGGTTGTCATGGTGATTATATTTTCTAGCTAATTTCATAGGCTAGCTAATTGCATAGAATTGACAGCCTATTTACAGCAATCAAATGAACTCTTTTAGAAGTCCCATTGAAGTTTCACTTATACCTTTAATTTTTTATTTATTTATCTGTTTACCTATTTATTAGGAAGGACTAGAGTCTGGTGACCCTGGCACAGATGATGGACGTTTTTATTTTCATCTGGGTGATGCCTTACAGAGAATGGGAGACAAAGAGGTACATGTTTAACACCTTCTTGCTTTAAAGTCTAAATCTCTCAGGACTGCAGTGTCCAGAAAAACCTTTAATGATGGACTTAATGTTGAAAACGTGAGTAGTCCTATTGCAACAACAATACAACATGTAGAGATCAAGATGAGCAACAGAAAAAAATCTGTCATTGGCATAACAATACAATCTCTTAGCATCCCTTGCTTTAGAACTAACCTAAAGATTTGAAGCTTGCATGGGGCAGCTTGAATTGAGGGACTAAACATTTGTTAAAAATTGTAATTAATGTATTTTTAGAGTCTGTGTTTTCCTCCTGCCACTTACAGCAAAGATTTTAACAAGAGTCGAAAAAAAACCTATATAGAAGTTCTCTCATACTCTGGTATAAGGGTATTTTAAAAACTTTTCCAAAATAACCTTGAGGACCAATGAGTATGTGATAAAAGAAGACATTGAGAGAACTGAATGTGTGGGCTTAGTTATGGAATTGATCAATAATTAAATTAGCAAATAGATCAGAAAAGCATCAGTTTGTACAACATATCTGTAATGTGCCCAAGAAAAACAAACATATGCCACTGGAAGCTGTAAGGGTTTCTAGTTTGTTTATTAAAAAACAAATTTTGTTTAAAAGCCAGATTTAAATGCATGAATTAACACTACTGTCAGTAGGGGAGCAAAGGGCCTTTTTTCATGACTGTTATTAGTAATGAACTTTACCATGGGAATGAATTGGAAAACAGTAGAAAAACACTGTTCAGGTTCCTTGGTGGGAAATATGAAAAGAATATGCATTAAAAAGAGTAGCAGAAATAGCTATGAAAATCACTGCTTTTTAATTACTTATCTAGTAATGTCTGAAATATTAATATCTAAAATACTGTAAAAAATGCTAACCTCTTGAGTATTGTGGCCCGGTCAATAGGTGGTTCTCCAATATGAACTATAGACAAGTGATGATGAAGCCTATGTATGTGATCCTTCTCAAGCCTAGTTCATCAAATTAGGGGTTTTTTAATAATTCATTGAACTTTTATTGCAATACCTAATGCATCTAGTAGATCTAAAATGTTGAAATGTAACAACATCTGAATTTTAAGCTAGATTGCCTTCCCTGAAATATTCTTTCAATGAGTTGGGTTTTTTTGATCTAAATGTTCATTTACAAGTGAGAATTAGTTTCCCTCATTTTACTCAGAAAAAAATGCATATGATCACATAAAGACACATGCACACGGTCTGCTTTCACGCTTTCTCTGTCTGACTCCTCTCAAATCCCTGTATGTTTCCATGGGATAGTCTGAGTTGAATGGTTCAGCCGAGAATATCCCATTGTAGTGTCGGACTAAAGATACCACACAGATGTAATTAATGCAATTAATGTCATCCCTAACTCCCAGATGTGTTAATGTGTTAATGTTTATGGAGTTAATGGTCAAGTCTGCTGAAGAAAAAGTTTAATTAATGACAAATGAACTTCTTGGAATAGAGGAGACTTCTAAATTTATCAGTGGAAAGTCTATTGTTAAGCTAAATTTTTCTCACTAACCTTGCTAGGCTTGATGAATATCAAGGTTTAATCAAGGAAACAGATCAATATTTAAGGAACATGTGAAATTGCTGTCACTGAAGGTTTGTTGAAGGTAGATTTTCATCTATTAGAGCTAAATTAGGAATTATGAATATGATCTTGGTAAGTGTTAGGAAAACAGTGTTGAGTATGCCTTTTCCAATTAAAATTCGATAAAATGCCAAATTGACTTAAAAAAAAAAAAGTTAAAACTATGGAAGTTATAGAACAAAGCTCTGTTCACACAGAATGTATAAAGCAAGTCTCAAACAATGTCTGTCCTGGAGAAGATGACACACTGTTGTAACTCTCTTGAATAATACTGTGGTCATTATTTAGTCTTTCCACTACCAAGACCTGCATGAGAAAAGCGAGGTTCCTCACAGAATCTCAGGAATGGAAAGGATGAGCGAGGCAGCCTAACTCAACTCCATTCTGCCAAAGGCAACCTCCATAGAAAATTCTTATAATAGATAAATATTAACAGCATTATACATTGTGATTATAGCTGATGTGTCTTGAAGAGCAGCAACATTCATACTCATCAGTTAGTGGCTGAAACAAGTAATTCATCCACTTTATCATTTGGGTTAACTCCAGGCATTGCAAACGGATGCAGGCAGTCAGCATGAACAATCTATTGATATCCCACTACTATTACAACTTTCATCTTGGGGAACAGATGTTATAAATCTTAATGCTTCCATTTCAGAGATTTAACCAAGATAGCATCAAAATTTAAAGATACACTGTGTTACCCATAGGTAACAAATAATATTTTTTTTGACCCATGCACAATTTCACTGAGCTTCTCTAGGGAAAAAAGATGACAGCTTATATATGGTCTGCTGTTATTCTGTTCATCCACAATACTTTTCTATACTTCTGATAAATACTGTAAGGCAACACTCTATTGCAGACTTTCCTCCACACTTCAAGAGAGTTACAAAGATCGGAGTACTACATTTTTTAAAAGGTTGAAGAAAATTTTCAGATTCTCAAAGAGAATTTTGGCCTCTTTCTATTCAAGGTGGGGATTGCTGCCTGCTTCAGTCCCTCTGCTCTGGACTTCTTATCCTCATCCCTGCCTATTTAGCTGTCCTGTTTTCTGGTTTGTTTGGGTCTTTTGTGTCGTCTGAAATATTGCAGCTGTAGCAGTACTGCCGGGCAGGAAAGAGGCACCTATATGTAACCTTTGCTGTGTGTGGTTCGTCACAGTACTACTCCTGATGGATCTTTTTTTTCCAAACATTCCATTTGCTTTTTTTTGCAGGACCTTGTTTTGCTGCTGCACAGGGGTAAAACAAATTGTGTCAAGGGAGAGTAAGACAAGCAGAAGTCTAGTATTAGCCTCAGTAGGTTTCTGTCATGTGAGTGGTTTAGATGTGGCAACAAATATTTGAAGAAACTCAAGTGCATTTAGGTATTAGATAATTAAGGAACAGTTTAGACCCATAAAGTTGTCAGTGTTTTCACCATCACAGCATTTCCATTGGCGGCAGAAGACAGTTGTCTTTAATTCATAGGTTGAGAATTGAAACAGGAAAAATGAGGTTGACCAAGATGAGAAACAATTGGATCTCCCAAGTCGAAGGACAGGACCTGAATTACTGACCTATATTTTATATGAATGGTTGTGAGATTATCCTATTTTCTTAATATTGGAGTGGACAACCTTGGCCAACTGATCTATTTTGTTATTTGGTGGTTTTTTTGCTTGTTTGTTGTTTTTTATCTTAAAGTATTCATTAGTACATTTTATTAAAGGAATAACCCCAACATCCAAAGAGAGAGTCTGTTACCTTGACAAAAAAGTGTTATATTCTTCCTGTAGGATCTTGGCTGATGTGAATTTGGTTGTTAACAACTACAATCTTTTAGGCATACAAGTGGTATGAACTTGGATACCAAAGAGGTCACTTTGCTTCAGTTTGGCAGCGCTCTCTCTACAACGTCAAGGGACTGAAAGCTCAGCCTTGGTGGACAGCAAGGGAAACTGGTTATACAGAGCTGGTGAAGGTAAAGCTTCTTTATACTTTCATTTTTATTAAAATTACAACTATAAGTTATTAAGCAGAATAAATGCTAATCTGTAAGGGATAAACTACTGCCTGTGAGTTCCAGACACCACTGTCAGACTGAGCACAATTGAGATACTATAAAATGAGCTCAGGCATTTTCAAATTTGAGAATGGTGACAGCATGGCTGAAATGATTAATAAATACAAAATTTGCATGGTAGACAACTGTAACATCTCAAGTGGAAAATGACAGCAAACTTTGGTAATGCCTGGGACACCCACTGTGAATTTTTAATTAGTCAGGAAAGGCTGTGTCTTTCAGCCCTTGTGTAATGTTTAGTGACTTTGGAAGCTTTTGATTGCATAAGAGAAACAAGTATAGATTCTAGTGATGGAGTTAACAAAGGATAATAACATAGAATTTAAATTCTTTAAAGGGTTTTTTATTTATTTAAAAATAGTTTGTATTTCCAAAATTGCTTGGTTTTTATTTTATTATAATGTTAATAATAATTCCTAAAAAATTAGAAGATAACTTCTTTTCCCCTGTATGTTTTCATTATTGGTGTGTGGTTTAGAAAAATTACTCTACACAAATAATTAAAATCCCCAAAGTTTATTTGCAAGAAACAAGTTCATTCAGAATGGTAGTTTCTTTATACTTAGTTATATAGAATGTTAGAAAACCTACTATGGAAGGATGTTTTTATTTAAAAAAAAACAAAAGAGGAAGATTGCTCTTTGTTATGGTTTTGATGGCAGCATAAATAAGACTGGGAAATTTAGATTAAAATATGATTCTCCAGTGTAATCTCAGCAACACAAAGGAGCAATTATCTCTATGGACTAGCTTTTGGGAAGATTTGATATGGGTCCATATTGAACTAATTCTTGAGGAATGTGTAGGAGTAGAAACTTCTTGCCATAAAAGATACAGAGAAACTGGCAAAGTCTAATCATACTTCTGTCAAAAAACCAGAAAATAATACATGTTAACTGATTGATGTTTTAAAGCTACCTGCAGTGTTGCTGAACAGTCTCTTACATATAAACTGTGTAAGTTATCACAGAAGGTAATGATCCCTTCACCCTTAGCATGAGTCAGCTTTGAAGGCTGAAAGAATTCAGTTCCTGTTATAAAATGGCTAGAGCTCCACCTTGAAGCCTGGTGTTTTTTTTCATATGAATCAGGCCATATATGAATGTCTTGGTTTAGTTCAGCATCTTGCATGGCTCTTAGAAGAGCTGCTCAGAAGACCAAGAAGGATATAAATTCACCCCTGACCTCCACAGCACAACTCTCTCTCTGGAATCCAGTAATATTTCTTCAATCCAATCATTTGGTGGCATATGTTTTAGCCATCTTTAGTAGTATATGTTTTATTAGCAGTATGTCACTGAATTTGGATTAAGTTGTGGCTTCGAATTTACTTACATTCACAAAGTATAAACGCGTAATGTAAGTTAAATGCATCAGGACAAATACTTGTATTGCTGTGTTTCTCCCATAATTCAAGAATGTACTTGAAGTTTTGAAAGAAAGCAGATTTGATTCTAATAACATAAAATGCTGTAAACAAAAATAGAAGTAGTACTCTCCAGAAAGTGGCAAAAAATTGTTGATAACATTGGGTTTACTGATGCCTGAAATAGTCCGACTTATGTACATGGTCTAGTTAAAAAATACCCCAACACATTATTTCCCCTTTTCACAGAGCAAAAACCAATCAACAGTTATTTCCTACTGCTTCATCTCATCACATTCCACTTGGATCTGTGTGGGAAATGCTTCCAAACCCTAATGGTAGAATTCAATATGGAAAGCTACTGTACAAAGCGCTAGAGGTCCTGACCCTCTTTCTGTGTGTTTTGCTGCTTGATGTTAAATGTGAATGAACTATTTTCAATATCTTGATAGCTTAATAATGCTAACAGAGGATTTGTTCATGGCTGAGACAGTGCTAAAGGTGAAACCTCTGGCAGCAATTTGGTTCCTTCCATTAACCAGCACAGTTTTGGTCAGTAGCATCTCATAGCACAGACCTGGCTTGATTTTGTTATAAAGGGTCATGTAGTTTCTTGGGACTCAAAGAAGTCAATCTCATGCTCTATTTACTTTACCATTACCTGCTAACCTGGATATCTCCAGAGGGTTTTGGGTTGGGTTTTTTTTTTTTGGAGGGGGAAAGAGGAGGAAGGACTGAGAATATCTCAGTAACGTTTATCAGGATGTGCTAAATCTTGATTAGTGGAACTTGTTCTGCTAATGTTTCTGATGTATAGTATTTCAGGCATTTGGATATGGAGATTCAAGAAAGTATCTTTCTCTTTTGATCTCAGCTGAAAGTAAACCTTACTTTAACCTTTGAAAACCTGTCATTTTCCCTTGGGACTATTAGTTTTTCTCTACCAGTCTTACTTAGTCATTGCACCTTTTTCTGGTGCCTTTTGTAGAACCTCAGTTATAGCATTATTCTATACTGGTGCTTGTTTAAAAAATAATAAAAGAGAGATGTATTGTTAGATCATAGAGACTTTTCACTGGTCTGACATTAATACATAGGTAATGACTCAAGTAACTGTCCTTGCTGCATGTTGTGTCCTTTGACTTTTGGAAAGGACCCAAAGGATGCCTTGACAGTAATTTACTACAGTGAATAGCTGATTGATTAAATAGATCTTGTATTGTTGTTTTTTTCTGATGTCTTAGATTTTATTAATTAAAGTGCAGCAAGTAAAGTGCAAAAAGAAAACGAAAATACTGGCAACAACACATACCTGTATCATTTTCCATAGATTGACAGGTAGGCCTTAATGGTTTAGCTAGTAATAGCTAAAGATCCATAGTTAAGGGAGAAATTAAATTGAAATGTGAATTCAAAGTGTGGTTGTGTTCTTTAACGGAAGCCTTGTGTTGAAAAGGGCAAAGATGATGCATTTAAGTGCTGCTGATGCTTAAGCACTGTGAGTGATTGAATGGGTGCAAGGAATCTATTTTGAAAGGTTTAAAACACTGCCCCTTGCTTGGAGGTCATCAGCATTACCCACTGGAGATGTGGTAACTGTTTGTGAATGCTTTCCTATTCTCTTTTAGTAACAAAGTGAAGTACATTAAGCTCTTCACCATGATTTTATTTTATAGTTCAATGTATTAAAATGGATGTGTAGTCAGTAGTTACACCTCATGTGAGGGATAGCAACCTCTTAATCTCTCCCTATTTCATTTATGACCATGTATTGAAAAGGTTTGACAGCACAGAGTTAAGGATTCTTTCAGTGAAATAGTCTCACATAAAAATAAACCAATATTGAGAAATCCCTATTTAAATAAAATCTACGCTATTGCCAGATCTACAGCAACTGTAAACTTCTATTGTTAGGAGATGTATTTAAAAAGCCATATGGAGGTTTATGGGAATCAGCTGCTGGCAAACAAGTACATATGCTCCCAATGCTGGTTGCCTCCTGATTCTTCACTTGGAATCAGGATATTGCATCAAATATAATATGAATTCTCTAATCTGGAGCTTGAATTTGTACACATCATGGAGCGTGAGCACATTTAACTCTTTTCTGTAGGTACCAGCTATTGGATCAAGAGCCATAAGTCCAAGTCCTGGACTCAGTCATTATGCTTTAATGGTGTTTTGTGTTCTTACCATTCAAGGTATGCCTAAGAGTCTGTAAAATCAAGGAGATCAAAGCTGAGCTGTGTTTGAACTCCCCACTGCATTTCCACCTAGGAGTTGCCTGTTGCTCTTTATAAAGCACTATCAGTGTGTTTTACAGATGGGGTCTAGGTTTCCAGGAGTACAGAAACCCTATTGATTTTAGGGCAATTTCTTTCTAAAACCATTGAGGAGTTAGTTCAAAATGAATGATATACATCCAAATAACTTTATATCCAGAATGCTGGGGGAGGAGCCTTTAAATGCAAGGACAAACACCTTTACAGGTTAACATTCAGCCCGTGGCACTTGTGAGAGAATAGAAGTAACAATGCAAGACTACTAGTGGTCTTCATGCATCATCTTGTCTGCACTGGGTGAATGCTCTTTCTTACCTTTTTTTGGCTGAGTGAGTAGGAGGAGCTTGAGGAAACACAGAAGCACTTGTAATATCTTTTAAAGTTTTGCAGTTTTGTTGATCTGTATCACTCTAAATTCAGGCTGGTGTGAATGTAAGTTATCGTCTTTCTCTTCTCCAGCCAGTGCAAACCCAGATACTCAAGCTGCTATTTCCTTTTGTATGTACCGTAGTGCTGAATCACTAGCAGCACTATTCATCTCTGATTGCTGTATTCATCTCTGATTAGGTGGAAATTTTCAGTCTGTTTTGTGCCCTACATTTTGAAGAAGTCAGTTTTCCAAAGATATTAAAAAAAAATCCCAGCACCTGCATTTTTACTTAATGTTAACTGATAAATGAATGTTATGGAAACCATCAGTGAGGGAGAATAAGGTGAATGCGCTGGGAAAAATAAGTGCTGCTCCCCCTCTTCTGAGGGGTGAGAGAGAAAACAATTTGTTACTAAGAAAAGATTACTGTAATAACAGAAATTAAATCCATACTTTCATAGGTTTAAGCCTACCTACAATTGTTCTAGTGGGAGAAAGAAGGTATATTATAGACGGCATGTTCTAGGCATGGCTTGCCTTTTATGAGCTATCAATATACAACCTATTTTGTCAGATCAGCTTGTCTTTTAAGTAAAAAAAACTCAAGTGGAAAGTGCAACTATTTAATTTAAATGGGGAAGGCTAATAACTATATGGAGCTTTAAGACTAAAACAGGGCCAGTTGTATCACCTAGTCTGTTCTGTCTTATACAGACTTTTGAGTTTTACTCAGTTTTACACATCATATGAAGAGGTAGTGTGGGAACATACCATAGCCTGTTTTAGTGTCAGATGGATTGAAAATGTCTTACAGAAACGCTTTGTTCAAAACCCCAGAGGAAAAATGAAAACTATTCACCCAATATAAGGTTTAGTGGGAAAAGTAAGCAGCTGGGAAATTTAAGTTACATTTATCCAGATACACTGTTATACTGTGGGGTTTCCATTTATATTGCCGTAGTATTAAAACAACTTATTATTGGTAGAATAAAATATTTTCTACAAGTATAATGTCCTAAGGCAGCAGAGAACAGAAATTCTACTATTTTGTGTGTTAGGTATGTATGAAGTGTAAGGCAGCTTACATGTTCTTAACAGTTGTGCCTGTAAATCATCACCTGGCATTTCAAGTTGTATATGATTTTTTCAATAGCATCAGCATGTGCAAGTGAATCTCTGCGAGCCTTTTTGAAGGTTTAAATCATAAATTTCAACTTAAGTGTTGTGTTTACATTTGTCCTCTTTGAACCATAATATTCTGCCAACACCTGGAGTTCCAGGTTGTGTGAGTGGTTTTCTAGTTGCAGGAATGAATCTAGGTCACATGTGCAGCATTTAGGAAGATCAATACACTTAGCTATCAACACAGAACAATCAGCTAAAGAGCCCTGAGGCTCATCAAAAAGCAAGTCAAAGTGAGGCCTAGGCTGCAGAGTAGCTGGGGATTGTTGAAATTTTACGACACCAGTGTAATTGACTCCAAAGAACGCTGTGAAAGTTGTTTTTCCTGCCTGTACATGTCAGAAGGGAATAGAATATAAAGCAACTTGATAATAATGATGAACACTTGGTTTTAGTGTTTTCAAATTGAAAAAAAAAAAAGGGTAAAAATGGCAGGGAAAAATAAAAATAGTACTAAAGCCAAATACAGTAAGTTCTCAGTGCAGTAACATGGCTCTCACAACAGTCCTTAGAGAAAAACTGGAAGCTCATTCGGGATGAGGGTCTTGCTGTGATGGACAAAAAAAGCAGCCTCTTCCTGCCTGAAGATGAGAACCTACGAGAAAAAGGAGACTGGAGCCAGTTTACCTTATGGCAACAAGGTAAAACATTTTCTATTTCTTCTCTTAGCTCAATTTCGCTTTCTCAAACTAAGATAGTGTAATGAGGAGTAGCAGTTTTTTCCAGAACTGTTTTTGTAATTGCTATGTACAGAAGAAGGGAACAAATAGAGTAGTGTCTAGACCCCTGTGACAATAAACAGGAGTTCTTTATTCTAATTTGTGTGCTCCCCTTGCACTTTTAAGAGTCCCTTGAGTGTGTTAAGTGTTAAATAAGTGCATACCTGTCCCAGCAAGGCTGCCAACATTTTGCATGGTAATGCATAGTACAGCTCAGCCTGAGGGAAGATGATGACATGGGAGAAAGCACATCCTTAATACTGTCTTGCCAGCTATGTGAGATCTGTCATTCAGACACTGCAAGAGCAAAAGAATATGACTTTGAGAAGCCTGCTGCCCTGCCCCTGAGCTGTGCAGAGGAAGGTCCAACTATGAGAATGACCTTAAATCTTATAAAACTCTGCGTATGAAAGAGTACCATAAAATGAAATATTAAAAGCAACTTATATTAAAATGTAATCTGGTATTGAAATGGTATGATACTGGTGGCATTTTTAATCTTTTTTTTTCTATGCAGCCTCATTTATGTTTATACTTTTAGAATAATGTTTTTAAAGTGATAGCCTGGTGTTCACAAATAATTTAAAAGCAAAATGTGCAGGCTGCTGTGATATTACAACATGAAACTACTTCAATTGCACAATCTGTAAAATGGAAATAATATTTACCTGTCTTTCAATGTTAGCTCTTTGACATCGTTGTTGCTCTTCTGCAAAGCAGAAAACAGGAAAGTGTTCATTCATTGCTCTTACCAATGCTCTATCCATTATTTTAACTAGGAAGAAAAAATGAAAATGCTTGTAAAAGTGTTCCAAAAACATGTGCTTTATTGGAAAGATTCCCGGAAGCTACTGGCTGCAGAAGAGGACAGGTACCTGGCAAACTTCTTCTTATCTGCAAACTCTTAATGCTCAGAGCTGGTGATTTTGAGGAATAGAGGGATATACATATAGAGGGATGCACAGATTTGATATGTTTAATGATGATTCAAACACATGATAAATTTAGCAGCAAAAATATACCCAGTTTTAGCTGTAAGCAAATACCAGGTGAAATATGTCAGCTGAAGTCTTTCTACAGATCCTTCCTTAAGTTGAGCCATTTTACCTTGTGTTTCCTGAGAACTCCTGGTAGGTAAGCAGTTATTTTCCATGAGTCAACCAATAAGTAATGACTTAGTAGCCCTCAGCCTGAAGTGACCTGGTCTGACTCATAGCTTAACTCTGCTTTGAGCGGAAGATTGCATTACGTCCTTTCTAACCTGAATTTTTTTTTCTGAGCTGAACCTAATTTTACATGACTAATTCAGTGATCCAGAGTCTAACTATGATAAACTTCACCTGTTTACCCTAGCCTGGCTGCATTAGACAGGAGAGTCAGCTTGTGGAAGCCAAATAGCAGTACTACTGTCACATGCATCTTTCCTGAAGGTAAAGGAAAGAAATTTTACATCCATGAGCTGTGGCTGTGGGTGCCAACAAAGTTTGTTTCAAGTGCCTACACTGATGATTCAGATATAAGTTAACCTCATTAAATCATGCAGTAGATTTGTATGGTTTGGCTCAATACAGATGCAGCTGAATGAGTGACCCAACACAGCTGTCATGAGATTCTGTAGGACAGAATTTTTCATTTTTTTTCCAAGTTATTTTATCCATAGTGACTCTGTGAGAGTAACCTTCATGTGCCAAAATTAAGGATGCAAAAGCTGGAAAACGCAGTGCTAGCATAATCCTAATTCAGAGCCTTGAGAGCACGTGTTCATCTTTCTCACCAGACTCCTGCTTTTGATGTGCAGAACTACACTGGATGGCTACTGTTGTGGGAATGAATAAGGTTATTGTTTCACTGATTTATTGCAAAGGCTGATAGTAGTGAATATAAGTAATGAGTGAAGTCATCATGGTCAGTGCAGCTAACAACAAGAAAACTTCTCTCTGTGGCATCTGTAGCCAAAATGGAACTGTCCCAGAGAGCGAATTCTCTTTGGGAGCTTACTATTTTGTTAATCATTTTTGATGCCCTACATGTTATCACTAGGATATGGTTTGCAGAAACATTGTGTATTTGCAGGTATATCTGTAGTCATGTGTTTTGAACACAGAAATGTAAAATAATCTGGAAAGCGATGTTCTATAAATCTCAAGATTTACATCCAATATTAGGGGATGCCTAGGGCAATTTTAATCTTATACTAGCCATGACTCAGATTTTACTGGCAAGTTAAATTTTAAATATCAGCTAATAGAGATATAGATCTCTATTCACATACTGAAACACTGGGAAGCAATGGGAACAGACACAGTGGAAAAATAAGGAATTCTATCATAGGTAGACCATTTGGATGCTCTGGACACCTCGTGTAGTGAGAAAGCTAAAAGAAATGTAAAATAATCACCTACTTGCTCAATGCTGCTGGGAGACTGTGTGGAACAATAGCAAGCGATCATATTATTAAAAATTATATAATTCTTCTTAAAAATATCAGTACACCAAAAGTATCGGAGATAGGTTTATTTCTGGGCATTTCTGAACTCTTCAGAGTTTTACATTACAACCATGGTAGTTTAGAACTGTTCATCCATAGCACTTGAGTACAGCACATAGATATAATTCACAGACATATTCAAACTGATTTGCTTGGGCAGATAATGTACGTGAGAGTAATCAATCTGCAGTGCTGGTAGATTAACATTAAAAAAAATTGTTTATCTTGGATATTAGTAACTATCCTGCATAGCCAGTTTTTTGCATTGTGTTAGGGTCTGACAAGGCAATTAACACATCATGGTGTAGCAGAGGTTGGATTGAAGGATCTATGTTCGCTGTGGCCACTGGAGCTTGTCACTTCTGTTAGAAGAAACTGCTGCTAAGCTGAAACCTCAGATAGCAAGAATGGCATTAAACACGCAGTCTTCTGCTGACTGCGGAGTTGGAGAGCAAGCAACACATTAATCTGTAAGATTTATCGAAGTTCATCTGTCCCAATTAAATGTGCAGATTTCTCAGTTGAAAAGATACTTCCCACCACTGTCATGCATTAGTTACACTTACTGTTCATTGAACTGTAGAATGAATCAAAAAGGATGAGGAGAAAAGGGACATCTGGAGATTTAGTCCAACCTCTTGCTCAAAACATGATGAGCTAGAGCAGATTGCTGAGGACTGTGTTCAGTCATGTTTCGAATGCCTCTGAGGATAGAGACAACCTCTCTGGGCAACCTGTTCCTGTGTACAATAAAAATGTGTTTTCTTATGCTTAAATGGCATATCCTGTATTTCAATCTGTGTCCATTGCCTCTTTTCTTTTCACTGTATACCACTGAGAAGAGCCTGCCCCTGCCTTCTTCACTCCTCTCATCAGGTATTTATATACATTGATAAAATCCCTCCTTGAATCTTATGTTCTCCAGGCTAAGCAGTCCCAACTGCCTCAGCTTCCCCTTGTATGTTAGATTCTCCAATTCCTAAATCACCTTTGTACCCCTTTATACCCCTTCACTAGACCTGCTCCAGTGTGTCCGTGTCTCTCTCACATTAGACAGCACAGAACTGGATCCAGCACTCAAAGGTCTCACCGACTCTGAGGGGAAGGATAACCTCCTCAACCTACTGCCAGAGCTCTCCATAATGCAGCCCTGGAAGCTCTTTGGGGTCTTTGCTGCAAGGGCACATTTATGGCTCATGTTCAAATTGGACACCATGAGGGCCCAGCTATGAGGACCCCACAGTCTTTTTCTAGAAAGTTGCTTTCCAGACAATTGTCCAACCTGTATTGGTGCATGGAATTACACCTCTCCAGTGAAGAACTTTGCATTTTGTTTTGTCAAATATTGTAAGACTCCTGTTTCCTCCTTTTTTCCATCCTGCCAAAGTCCCTATGAAGGACAGCAAAAAAAATACATTCCCATCCAATTTTCTATCATCTGCAAACTTGCTGAGGGGAATGCACTCTGTCCCGTCTTCTGAGTCATTGGGAAGCTATTAAGTAGTGCTTGACCCAGTATTGAGCCCTGGGGAACACCTCTGATGAGCAGCCTCCTGCTGGACTTTGTGCCTCTGATCACAACTATTTGAGCCTGGCTTAAGTGCCAGGTTTCAATCCATTTCACTGAGAACTTACCTAGATCCTATTTCATCAGTTTGTCGATGAGGATGTTTATGGCAGATAGTGTTCAGAGTCTTACTAAAGCTGAGATAAACAATATGCACCAAGCTAAACACCTCACCATAGAAAGCTGGTAAAGTACAATAGCCCCTTCATATACCCATGCTGACATTCCCAAGCATATTCTTTTCCTTCATGTGTTTGAAAATTGTTTCCAGGATTATTTGCTCCATCACATTCCCATGACTGAGGTGAGGCTGACTAAATGGTAGTTGCTCAGATCACCTTACTTGCCCTTCTTGAATATAGGAACAATGTTTGCTTTCTGCCAGTCCTCAGGGACTTCCACTGGCAGCAATAACCTTTCAAAGATTGTGTGGATTGCGTATGGATTCACCAAATTGTCCATCTCCCTCTGGTCTCATGCGTGGATCCCATCAGGACCCATGGACCAGGTTGTTGAGTTTGTTTAATGTTTCCTAACCTGATCCCTCTCCACAGAAGATAACTCATGTGTGCTGCAGACTATTTCACTCAGGTGCCTATGTTCCTGAAAGTCAGTAATACAAGTAAAGACTGGGGCAAAAAAGGCATGTGGTGCTTCAGCCTTTTCCATGTCCTTTGTCATTAAATATTCTGCCACATTTAGTACCTGACCCATTTTTTCTGTAGACTTCCTTTTACTGCTGATGTATTTGTAGAAATCTTTCTTGTTACCCTTCAATTCCATCTCCAGATTCAGCACTAGGAGACCTTTGACATTCCTGCCCTCATCCCTGCACATGCAGAGAGTGTCTCTACAGTCTTCCTGGGTGACATAACCCTGCTTCCTTCTCTTTTATGACTCCTTTTTGTGTTTCAATTTTATCTGTGTTGCCATACTCTCTGCAAATGGGGATTCTTGAGTCTGGACAAGGTACTGCTTATCAGCTGTCCTTAGACCCCTCTTCTCTCATGGGATTTTTCCCAGAAGGTCCCTGAATAAAACAAGTCTGTTTTCCTGAAGCTCCCAGTAATAATTTTGCTTTTTGTGTTTCTCCATCGTCTCATGATCTTGAACTCCATCATCTCATGGTTGCTCCAGTCCAGACTGACAGTGACCTTCACAGACATGTCATCTGAGAGTGGCTGGCCAGTCTGATAAACACAAGCCTTGTGTCTCCTCTTATCCATCCTTCTAAAAGATGAGTGTCTGTAAGTCTTTCTGATTGTAGATAGAAGATAGTTATTTTCAACTTGAAATATGACTACTGGTTATTTTAAGTAAAATACAAGTATGTAGTATTACATACAAACATGCTTCTGGATGCACCCAAACCCAGTAAAACATGGTTTTTTGTACTATTGAATGCCTTTAGGACATGAGAAAGAGCACTTGGTGCTGAGACTCTTAACAAAAGTTTACATTACACTTTTCACCTATCATCGAGGATGAGCCAAAACAAAATCTTGAACTCCCAGCAGCATGGCTGTGAAGTGGAATGTGTTGAAAATTTGCCTTTCTCTTCTTGCAGATCAAATATTCTATCATGCACCCTGGGACTCATGTCTGGCCCCACACAGGGCCCACCAATTGCCGGCTGAGGATGCATTTGGGCTTGGTGATACCTAAGGAAGGCTGCAGAATACGGTGTGCCCAGGAAAACAGGTATGGCTGGAGGCCTTTGGTTTGTTTTTTGTTGTTGTTGGCTTTTCGTTGTTTTTTTTTTCCAGTTTCCTCAAGACTGAAAAAGGGATGGGACTGCATGTAATTTAAAAAAATAATGGGGTGTTTTATTGGTTGCTGCAACCGATCAGTACTTAATTGGGGCTTATAAGAAAGATGGGGACAGTCTTTATCAGATAGGTTACAACAGAACAGGGGGCACTTGTTTAAAATTAAAAGAGGGACGATTTAGATTAGATAAAAGGAAGAAGATTTTTGTAGAGAAGATGGTGAGACACTGGAACAGGTTGCCCACAGACATGGTAGATGCTCCATCCCTAGAAAAATTCAAGCTGAAATCTGGAGGGAACTCTGAGCAACTTGACTGAGTTGAAGATATCCCTGCTAATTGCCAGGAGGTGGATTAGATGACCTTTAAAGCTTGCTTTCAACCCAAACTATTCTATAATTCTATGTTTCTTGTTCAGTACAGCTGTGGTCATTTTAGATTGTTGGGCCATTTTGAAGTCCCAGCTCTATAAAATGTAGGGTACAATGCACAAAAATGGTAGGTAAATAATATTTAGTTCTCATAATCAAACATTGCTGCCAGGCAACACAATCTTATTTTGACGTGAAGGTGCAGAGTTACAGCCTTATGAAGAAGCAAGTCCGAGATCTCACTTGCAACAGGTGACACTAGAACTGTGCAGGTGATAGGGAAACTACCCCAAAGTAGCTCAGCACCAGAGCAGAAGAGTGTGGTCCCTATGTTACCACTGTGAAGTGTTTCTCACGCCGTCAGGCCTCTAGAAAGTATTTATTTGCATGCTAATGGTGGGGTTTGTAGCCTTTTCAAAAGGGGCTAATAGTTCTGTCAACTTTATGACTTTTCCTTTGTTGTGCAAAACAGACCATCCCATTATGATGCAAATGATAGATCCTAGGTTTAACCTCTGAAGCTACTTAATCTGGGTGCCTGGAGTTTTTATTGTCCTTAACTGAGCTGCACTTTCAGGCTATTTAGATAAGTTTTTTTCAGGCTCGGTTCACTTTAAAAAAACCAGAAACAAACAAAATAAAATCAGGAAAAAATAAAAAACAGCAACAACAAAAACCAACAACAAAAAACCAACCAACCAACAACCAAAAAAACCTGCAAACACTGATAATAAAAAAACCCCAACCAAACAAAAAGAAACCAAACCAACCAAAAACCCGTCTGTTACCCCAGCAACAAAATCACCAAAATTCAGTTACCCCAAACAAAACAAACCAAATCCCCCAGCCACTCCCCGAAGCACCCCCACCAAATACCCCCCTGAAAAAAAGCCTCCCCAAAAAAACACCCAAAAACAACCCTCCCAAAAAAACAAACCAGAAAAAACACACACCCCTAAAATAAAAACCACCAAAAACCAAAACAAAAAATACCAAAACAAAACAAAAATACAACCCAAAGTCTGATTGAATTTTTTTGCCACAATATAGCATTGCAAGTGATTGACTCCCATTGACTTAGATAAGACCAACGTAACTTTATTGCAGAAGCAGCAACTCAGGGTCTATGTAACACAAAACATTTTTGTTACCAGATAACTACTGTGGTAGCAAAAAAACCCCCACATGATGATCATAGCTGAAACCTGCAAAAGGCTGGTTATCTGAGCCTTCAAGGCTGACATCTGTGTGCAAGTCAGTGTGAATTTTTTTACTATCTTACGTTTTCTGGTTTATCTACTCTTGTTTAAATTATTTTTAGATGATCATTTCAGTTGAATTTATCCAATTTCAATTTCCATTTCTCTACAGAACATTACAGCATAACTGAATAAATTTTAATGTTTTTGCTTTTGTTGAATTAAAAATACTGAAATGAATAGGGAGTATGAATCTACTTTTCACCCTGGTTTTGAAAGAAGAAAGTTGTTTTCTCTGTGAATGGTCACAGCTGAATGAGCTTAAGCACTGCATTTCCATCTTTGATGGCAAGGCCTTTGTTTCTTTACCATTCTTACTGTTCATAGTGCTTAACTCCCTTTAAGGGCATTCATTCTCTTGAACTGCTTCAGCTACTAAGGAATTCTGTTAAAAAACTTGATTATGTGTTCATTGTAGAGTGGCTTTAGGAAGGAAAACTTTGGCCATTGTTGGTTTTTCATCCAGTCTCACCTGAAGGGGTATAAGCAGGTGTTAAACTTCCTCAAAATTATGAATCTAGGTCTCAGCAGGCTGGAGAATCATGCCAGCTGAAACTTGATGAAGTTCAACAAAGGCAAATACAAAGCCCTGCAGCTGATAAGAGATCGACACCTGGTTATTGTACAGCCTGGGTGATGACTGCATGGAAAAGCAGCTTGGCAGGAAAGGGCTTAAGGGTCCTAGGGGCCAAGTTGAACATGACTTACAAACTTCTTTTGGCTTGATGAAGGCTAGCTGTGTACCGGACTGTACTAGTAAGTTTGTAGAAAGCAGTTTGAGGACTGCAATTTTTTCCCCTCTCTTCTCAAGACACTGTCTCTGGAGTACTGTGTCCAGTATGTTATAAGTTAGTTTAAGAATTTAGACAACTCAGTTCCAATTAAAAGTTGATAAATTTATTAAGCAAGCGATAATAAAGCAAACAGCGCTGGGTGGTCAGGGGGGGCCAGCGCCCCGCCCGAGACACACACACCCTGCTTGAAAACCGGGCCTTTGTACCCTCTCGATATCAGTTGTTGAATATTCATTCATTGTCCGTTTGTTGCCTTAAAAGGTAATTCCCCTGCTTTGGAGGTGGGTGTTACCTTTTGGTTGGTTGTAACTTATCTCCCCTGGGCTTGTACAGGAGGGGTCTTGCATCATCCCCACGCTGCAAGTCCTTTCTCTGTATCCACATGGCACAGAGAAATGTATTTTTATTTATAATTTGTTCCCTGTTCCCGGCCGCAAAAGATTCCCTGGTGTTAGGTCCAGACAGAACCTTTCACCTTACAGACTCCACGGTACGCCTAGAAGTTAGTAAATATACAGAAATAGTTTTTTGTTAGTACCCCCTTTTTATTTTAATTTGCTTGGAATAAAACCCGGTGCCTTCACTTATCACAAGTATGGAACTCTTTAGTACAAAAAAAGTCATTGATAAACTAGAGGAACTCCAGTGGAGGATGAAAAGACGATTAGGAGACTAGAGAAGCTCAACGGACTGGTTTGGAGTCTGAAAACAAGAAGGCTAAAGAGGAGACTAGTTACTGTCTTCAGCTACTAATAGGTGATTCTGCAGAAGGCAGAGCCAGAATCTTTTCAGAGAGGAGTAGTTATAGAATGAGAGGTTGTGGATGCAAGTGACAGTGTGAAGTAAGATAACAGGTACCCCCAAAATGCCAGGCAGTGGAAGGATTTCAGAAAAACTTATTCCAAATTTGGAACGCTAGACTTTCAAGGGAAAATTCCTAGCAGTGCTTGAACACTGGGCCTGAGGAAGGCACGCCTCTCCATTCTTCCTTGGCTTTTATCATCGCTGCCTTCCCACTCCCCTCCCCGAACAGAGACCCATAACATCTGTGAGGGTTTATCTCTGCTCTTCCCAGAGAGAGAGAGCTTGAAAGCTTCCTCTGGAATGGAGAAAAAAAGTATCCAACCATCTTCGAGAAAGGTGCTTCTTTCCAGGCAGGAAAACGTTCCTAAGCGAAACAAGCTCTAGCCTCCTCACCATAAATCTTCTGGAAAGAATATCTACATTTACAGACAGTGAAGGAAATTTCATCTTGATAGAAGGAAGTTTTCACAGTGAGGTTGGTGAAACAAAGGAAGAGATGGTGGAGTTCCTGTTTAGTGATCTGTTCTGCCTAACCAATACTTGGCAAACAGAAGGGCTTTGAGTTGTGGAATCTCAATCTTCCAGTTCCTCTATAACAGTATAGTCAATCCAGTGTACCCTATGGCATTCCAACCTTCTTAAGAGAAATCTTTAGGTTTAGTGCTTTGAATGGACTTAAGGCACAAGATTGTTAACATCCCAGAAACGTTAAGAGTGATGAGGGTCTAATTCTATTGTTCTGATTTTTAGAAAAAGCAAATTGATTTAATGAAATTTCTTTTTGAACCATATGACCATATTACTGGTCATTCCCTCAGCTTCTATCACTTCTGTACATCATTAATGTATCCGATTAGAAAAGGAAAAAAAGTGGATTATTAAACCAGTATTATACCTACTCCCTACTTAATAAACTTAACTCATTAACAGTATATAAATAACATATAAATGTCTGAATGTGTTTGTGGGTATAACTATGCAGAGTGAGGGGAAAAGATCTGTCAGGAATACGAGTAAGACTAGTCTTTCTGTAGTTTATTTCAATTAAAACTCTGATACTCCAATTTCTTTATATTACATTGTGAAATCTTGACTGTGCAATCTGTACCATTGAAATCTTTCTCGTATGTCCAAGAGCATCATCAGAGCTGATATATACCTTGCCTGCTCCAGGGCCCTTCAAATACTACACTATGTTCTTTTTTTGTGTTGCAGAGCCTGGGAAGAAGGGAAAGTTCTTATTTTTGATGACTCTTTCGAACATGAAGTATGGCAGGATGCTGAAAGTTATCGCCTGATATTCATTGTGGACGTGTGGCACCCTGAGTTAACAGCACAACAGAGACGCACCCTTCCTGCTATTTAAGGGGCTCCTTCTGATATGTGTCATGGAGGAGCTTTAACCCTTTGGAGTATGCAAATGGGATTAATTTATCCAGCATACAAAGTATACAAGTATTTTAGGGGTAAGAAAGGATGACATTCTACAATCAGAGAGGACTTGGTTTAAAAAAAAAAAAAAAAAAAAGAGGAAGAAACTAAAGAAAAAAGAAGCCATGTTTTGTTTCATACTGATACAGCACTGATGTGTATTGTTTTTCTGGCTGCAAGTTTGAAAATACAAGCCTTGTCAGCCAAAAAGCAATAGCTCTGGATTTTCAAACTGAGGAATGTGCAGATGGTTTTGCCATGCCTATATTATGTGTACAGAACCAGTCAGTCAGTCATATGCTTGACCATGTTCAGGCATAAGATTTATGATTCTACATCTAGGAAATACTTCCCAGGCTTTTACCTGGGAAACAACATGTAAGATATTTGCAAATGTGTGCACACAACCAACTTTGAAAATCAGTATGGAGTTGTAATGTTAGCTGCTTTAGGTTTAGAACATGTCCCTATGTTATCACTGTAGATAATGTGAATGGATTATGTGAGTTTTGTACTTTTTCTACCTAAGTAATTGTATTTTTCTAGCTTAATTATGAACAAATCTTCTTTAATTAACCACTATTTTTTTTAAAAAAACCCACTATATATACAAGTATGTCTCTAGCAGAAGGAAAACACTATATATGAACAGATTTAATTTTTGCTAAGTATGACCTTCTTTTACCTTTCTGGAAATGCAGATAGAAACTTGCATAATCAGCTGCCTAGTGAAGCTTTGTTCTTCTAAAACAAAATAGTTCTCTTAGTTAGCAGGTAACCTTCACTTTGATAATGTGATTTTGGAAAATGTTGAGCAAACGTGACATTTGTGGGCTCAGATCGTAAAGTGCTTGACAGTTCTTAGGATTATACAGTGAGCTGCTGTTTCTCCTGTTGTTACAAAAGCTTTTTCTAATCAGCAAGGGTTTGGGACTCCTCTTTCCAGGGACTCCTCCTTGGCTGCCCTTGAGTGGTCATTCAGCAGAAAAAAAAATATATGAAGAATTTCGTGTGCTTTGGGCAGGAGGACAAGGTCTAACTTGGGTTTCCTGACAGAATGTAGAGCAGACAAAGAGCTTCAGGTTATTAACTTGTATTAACTTCTGCTGCCAGCATTCTACAGAGTGCTAGAATGATCCTCTAATTGACCTAATGGTGTTTTCCCTATTTTGAAACATAGCACATAATGCTGAATTAGTCTGATCCCAGTACTGTTTACATGATGCTCTGTATTTGCCATACAGAATTTACTATATTGAAAAAAGGCCTATTTTCAAGAAAGAGAACTTGCTGGGTGTTTAAACAGTTGCCAGGTCTTTTGGGTCTGTACTGTTTAATGGGAGATGGAGGGTGCAGGACCCTCCACTATTAACTTCTAAGAACACTAACAGGAGAGAGAGACCAGGGGTTGTGCTGTTGATGTTTATGTCAGGCTGTGACATACTCACCTGCAACACCAGCTGGGCTTGGACAGATGTGCTGGGATGCTCAAGGCTCATCCAGAGCAGTGGCATCATTACTGAGCACTGTGAGAGACAAACACTAAGCAAAGAGACATTGATGTCACTTTACCTCCACAGCTTTGGCTTTGTTGTCCAAAGGACACCGAACAGTCATCTTATTTGTGTAAGACTCAGTGGTTTATTACTGCAGAGACTACATCATTTTACCTAAGTATTGTGACTGAATGCTGCATTTGCTAAAGCAAAATACAGATAAGAGCTTTGCATTCCCATAAACTGAATGCTTTTCAGATTTTGTATTTTACTAGGTAATTAAATTTTGTAATGCCATATAACACATGGTGCTTACACCATAAATGAGTGTAACCAGTTTCTGGAAGTGTGCACTTTAATTTCCTTTTTGAATAGTAAACTGATAAACTCTCTCTGATCAAGAGTCTGTTTTAGACAGCTAAGATAATTAGGTTTTAATGTGTTGTCTATATCAAAAATAATCCTGAGACTATACACCATGTACAAGAAAGTAACAGTTCTCAGTTAATAATAATGAAAAATGAAAATACTTGTAAGTTTCACTCTTTAGAAAATTTAAAGATACTTCTGGAGATCATTAGGAGAATTGTGCAAAAGTGGAAAAAAGGTACTCATTATTTGGGAGGATAAAAAGAGTAAAAATGTTTTTTAAATCTCCTGGTAGTTGTTGAATCAGAGGCACTATTTTATATCTTTGTGAAGTGATCAAGCAGTATAAATTATAAACTATTTTGTAATTCTCTAAAATAAAGACAGTTTGTAAAGAAAGGAACAAAAACTTTTGAAACAAAAATTGGTGGTTTAGGAATATTTTTATTGATGTCGCATTTTAGTTTCTATAGTTCAGATTAAATGCTAAAGGAGTGGTAAAAATTTTGGAGCTTTACTTATGAAAATCCATGCCATCCTTCAGATTGTTTCTTTGTTCCTTTGAAGGCTCATACTTTATCTTTTCCTATTGCAATTGACAAATAGATAAAATTCGCATATAGATAAAAGTAATGTACCCAAGCTGTGGGTGTGCTGGAGTAGCACTGTTCATTAGATTGTAGAGTGATACATTGGCCACTTAAAAATCTTAAGTGCCTTTCATAAGACAAGGTGTACTATGAACAGCTCCTGCAACACTGAAGTAAATCTACTCCATGCCTACAAGGCAGGAAGCTGGGAGCATGTTGTTTTGTTAGGTACATTTACTGTATTAGCTATATACATGGGGAAGATATATATAGCAGACTACAGAAATTATGCAGTGAACAACTGGTATATTATTTTAGGTATTCCTGTTTGCCAGCTGGTATTTTGTCTTGAAAAAGCTTTTCAGCTTTGGAAATGCCAAGGGAAGAAATGAATGGAAATGGTTTTTTAAATGGAGATCCATTGCAATTTAATTTTTTTTGTTGGGTTTATTTACAGAAGGAAATGGCAGACAAGGGCAATGTAGTCTGTAAGGCAGTATATACTCATCATGATGATAGGAGGTGGGTTCCATCCTGCCTGTCATTACCTTCTTTGCACAGTCTCTATAAGATCCTACAGTTAAATACAGGCTTCATTCAGTTATATACAAGGCATCATATGTATTTATTCGTATCACAGTTAAAGAAAAGAAATAATTCTAATACTTTGCGAGGTTTCATCTTCAAGGGTTGGATTTCAGTGATATTTGCACTTTCAGGCAGAACAAGACCCACTTCAGTGAACAGTGATTGTAACAGGTCATCACAAAGATTCAGTGGCAGTGGTGGTAACAGAGATTAGGTGTTTCTCTCTGTATTAACAGAGAAAAATCAAAAACCAAAGTATTTCTTCCTTAATGCTGCAGTATACTAGCCAATGTCTGTGTTTTCTGTCTGTTTGGGGTTTGCTTTCCGCTTTAAGCAAGTTCTTTTTGACAAATCCAAATGCCTTTGAGTCTCCATGAGCCCAGGGAAGGGAAGGGAGCTGCGTCCTTCTACCACAGCTTGACATCCTATAAGATGATAATGTCAGGGGAGTGGGAATGGAAGAAATGGAAGAAATCTCAAAGATAAATGGGCTCAATCATCTTATATGTTTAATGTTCCTGGAAGCTACAAGCTTCTGCTTCTTTTACTAGCGCCTGTGTTGCCTTGCTGGGACCATCGACTGCCTTAAAAACTCACTCTCTATCATGGAGGTCAGGCTTTGTATCAGTAACATGTTGCTGCAGGAGGAGGTTAGTCTGAATGAGGTTATTCTGTGCAAATACTAGTGGGTAAAACCCAGGTGTGTTGATAGGATCTGGCAGGATGTCCTTACTGCCCTGTGCAGACATAAAATGTTGTTGTAGATAAAGGCAGTATTTTGTTAGTCCTTCTGTTAGGGCTGACCATGTCCACTTGAACTGTATCGTCACTTCAATGTAACACTTAGCAATTCAGTGAATGTTCCAGGGGCACATTAAAAACCCTTGTGCCCACTATCATCTCATTTTGTTTGTATGGTTTACTCTGCTACCTTTGATATGTTGCTGCCAACCACTTGTTCTAGTAAATTGCCAACATATGGCAATATAATCGAAGACTAAAGGTATGTACAGTGGTTGTAACTGTTTTAGGAAATAAAGTCACTGAACGTGCAATTTGATAATGATTTTTCTTTTATTTCTTTAATCCGGTTTCCATTTCAATGAAGGGATGGTACTCTTTGCAGCTAGAGCAAACAGAAATAACAAACTGATCTTTGGCATTTCAGTTCTTCTATTCTTCAGCATTTCCTTCTAGCAGGAGCTTGTACTGAAAAATTAATTAGAAGTTTTCCTTTTCCATTTTAGCCATGGCCTGTATCTGCAATCAGCATTCCCTTCTGGCTACACCTTTCCTTGACTGCAGGAGGGAAGGGGACAAATGGCTCTGCAGAGCTTTCATTTGTTGTTGTGACCTGAACGAAACAATCTGGATTGAACCATAAATCACTGGTGAATGTGTCCAATGGGTCTCCCTGGCACCCCCCCACCATCACACGTGCACACACATGCACACGCACATATCTAATAGGCTCCTGAGTTGCCTGTGGAAAAACACATCATTAAAATTAAATAGTTGCATTTCAAATTGTGCGCGTCTGCTGCCCACACAGCTCATTCCACTTTAGCTGACGGTTTTATGAGGGCTTCAAAAGTTGAGAACGATTTTTGCTAGATACTGAAATGTGACCTCCCTGTATAAGCAGCATGGATGAGGCAGTCACAAAGTATCGTGTTGAATGACATTATGCTGGCACTGGGTTTTTTGTTTGTTGGGTTTTTTTTCTTTTTTTCAATGCAAAATCCTTCTGTAAAACTGGAGTACTCTGTAAATGCTGATGATTCTGCCCTCTGATCCAGATTACACTTACTGATTACAGTGCAAAGTTTAAATTTGAGATGCTTTTCTTTAAAACTCAACCTTAGCTTCTATAAAATAAGCATCCCTGATGAAGTCTTCAGGACACTACTGACATACCCTGATTTGTTTAAACAGAGAATGCATTTCTATAATTTCCAATATTTTAATGTCATAAGTCAAAAAAAAAAAAAAAAAAAGAAATTCTTTGTATATGGACAGATTCTTGTGTCAATAGAAATTTCTCAGTTTTTGTTCAGCGTCGGCCGCACGGACAGATGGCTGGTGACAGTTGTTACTTGGTCAGGAAACATGAAGGACTCGCCATCAAGCAAAACACGTGTGTGTGTGTGTGCGTGTGTCTGTGTGTGGTGTGCTCTGTGGGTTTCTGGTATGGTGGAAGTCTGTTCATGGATCTGTGTCTGCTGGGCATGTGGGACCTCAGTCCAGAGCCAGCAGTGGTTGGGTGTTCTCGCTTTCTCCTGGGTCTTCGTGTTTCAGTGTGCCGGCTTCCACCACAGACTGGGACCTGAAAGCAAGAAGACACATATGCTAGCAAGGACTTCTGCAGAAGCACTCACCTTCTTGGTTTTATGATCTTTCTTTGCTTTAGTCCATTTTCATCTTTATGGCTTCCTAATTATTTTCTGTGGAAAGCATAAGGAATTTGAGAAACATTCCTTTAAATACAAACAGGGATGTGACTCACTGGAGATCTCAAATGCTTTCAAAATATCTAGTGCTTGCCTACTGTCCATAATGCTGAATGTGCTCACCAACTTAAAGACCTGAGGCCACATTACCATGAGGTCTGTTGATGCTTAATGTCTTCCTAGGCAAAACTGCTTGTATGAAGCAAGCTGACTGCTGGAAAGCAAGTCATTTGCACAAGTGCTTGCAGGCACGAGTCTCAGCTCATGCCTGTTGCAATTCTCAAGAAATACAAGTAGACAAATCACATGATGTAGGGGTTTAAGGGGCAGGGCTACCATGAGTTACACGGGACCAATAAAGAAGCCAGAGTTAATATGACTATGAGGGAGCTTCTGGTGTGCCCAGTCCTGCAGTTTTTCACGCTATCTACACCCTTGAAGGAGAACCAGGAGAATCAGGGCTAGTCTAGTTTAAGCTCATTTCTGTCTTCAAGGTGGAAAGCAAAACTGAACCTTTGTTATTAGTGGAAAAAAATACCCCAACATGTAAAAAAATGAGTAAACACTAGAGAAAGTAGAACATCGCGATTTCTTGCAGTAACAAAAGCTGAATGGGCTTAAAATGGTGGAAAAATTCAAGACTTTCATTTTCAGAGGTCTGTGTGCTCCAATGTTTGCTTGCCTTTTGAAGGAGGATCTGATGAGATTATTGTTACAGAGATTTGTTATCATCCATTTTCTCTGCTTTGGGCTAGAAGTTGCCTCCTAGCAAGTTTGGAGTGGGCAATGAGCTTTAGAACAAAATCACTGTGTGATTCAGGAACTTTTAAAAAGGGATTTTTTTCTTTTTTTCAAAAGTGAGGGTAGAGTCATCCAGCCCAGCCATTTGCATAGTGCACAGTATCATTTTAAGGAGCCAGTTCTCTCATGGATAGCTTTTTATAATTAGGGGTAGCTCACACTCCCTACCTGATGTGTTTGTGGTTCCCAGTTGTTCATTTAAGCTTTAGCTGTTTCATGAGATTAGATGTCATCTCTCTTTTGATAAGAATCCTTAATAAATTGCATCCTTTGGTACTGCAGCACTTGATCAGAATTGAATACCATGACTGTGAATAAGTTGTATGATAATTATACTTATGCCTGGAGCTTTCATTAAAGCATAATAAAAATTTTTCATTAAAAAAAAAATCTCCAAAGAAAGATAATAAAAACTGGTTGCTCAATGGAAAGATTTTATGCCAACATTTTCAAAGAAAATTTTGTTTGCCCAAATGTTTTCTCTGCATATTTTTTACAGATATGTGACATGCATAATGTTTATGATTGCATTTTAATGTAGAAAAGCGACTGCTTTGGGACATTATGCAAAATGGCAATTTACGTATTTCTTGTATGTGGCAGTAAAAACTAATCATATGGCTTCGAAACTGATACAGAATGGATTCAAATCACAACATAAGCAGGTTTTTACTTTCTTTACTGGTCTACCAGATTAAATTATTATTAAATAGTACTGGTTAATACTTGTCACCAATGTATTGTTTCTCTCTGATCCACTTCCCTTCAATGGATGTAAAAAGCTGCATATCCTTTGCAGCATTTGCCAGCACACAGCAGAAGGTTTCTGCTCTAAGTCAACTGTGAATAATCTCACAATTTTGCCTTTTGTGATCACAGCTCATCACCCCAGCTTTCATGTCATTGCATACACAAAAATTCTTGCATCTAGAACACCAAGATACCAGTTTCTCCTCCATACTGGTGCTTGAATTCACACCACCTTGGGAACAATGTAATCCCAAGCTCTGTGTGCAGGTCCCATGCTATTCCTTTTCACATAGAGACAAAATGGCTAGAGCATCAAGTAGATGCACTGTAACCCATATGACCTCCAAATTCAAAATGTCAGTTGATTCAAACCCTATGCCCAGCCTTTCTGAATAATGTGAAGAGGGATCCAATTGAGATTTTAGTATCTGCTAAACTGTGCAGCAACAATTTCTTTTCCATTTCTGCTAAAAGCTCCTTAGCCTCCTATCCTAAAATAAGCAGTTCTCACATCTATCTGAAGGGCACAGTCATGGTTTTAACATTCATCACTATTTTCTAAGACACCACAAGAAAAAGACTTGTGTTTGAATTTCCATTTTCCAAATACATCAGTGGTGGGTTTTTTTTTTTTTGCTGAAAAATGCTTACAGTTTTGCTTTTAACTTAATTTTTATGTAGAAAAGCAGAAAATAATTTAATTCTAAACAGGATTTTAAAATACTCATTTCATATTCCTAATTTGTGGTAGATATTAAAAATGTAGATGCTTGAAAAAGCATTTTGGCAATATACATCAATGCAGTTCAAAATCTAATGTAATAATTTAGCACAAGATATATGTTTTACTGGCCTAGAACATCCTGGAGTATGCATTTTATAACTATATTTAATGACAGAGAAAAGATGACTTGTAACAGGTGACTGTTGCAGAAAGCATTTTCAACTGACAGTAACTGTAGAATGATAAAATATGCTGAATTGGAAGAGACCCATCAGAATCTTCACATCCAACTCCTGGCCCTATGCAGAACACCCCAAGAATCACATCATGTGCCTGAGAGTATTGTCCAAATGCTCCTTGAACTCAGACAGGCTTGGTGCTGTGACCAGTTCACCAGAGAGCCTGTTTTAGTACTCAGCCACACTCTGGGTGAAGAACTTTTTCCTGATATCCAATATAAACCTGCCCTGACTCAGCTTCAAGCCATTTTCTTGAGTCCTGTCACTGGTCATGAGACTGAAGAGATCAGTGCCTGCCCCTCATCTTTGAGAGAGGTTTTGCAATGACATCAGCTAGCTCTATGAGGATTCTGGGATGAATTCCATCAGGTCCCATAAATTTGTAGGGATCCAGGTGGGGCAGCAGATCCCACACAATTTCAGGGTCAACTGGGAGTTGATCATTCTCACAGTCATGGTCCTCCAGCTCAGGGCACTTTATCTGCAGTATTTTGTGGCTGTAGAAATTAGTATAAGACAAATACTATTTGGAAGACGCGCCCTGAAATGTTGGTTTCGTTTTGGTTTTGTGGATCTAGCAGACATATTCAGTCCACGGAAAGCAGTCACATTGTGGGTATGTGCAAGTTTACACTAGTATTGAATGTAAGACTAAGACTAGTTTTTATTTTTAAAATGCTGCTATCTGTTTTAGCTGCATTAACCTTTTTTTCAGAGGATTTCACAACCACATTTCAAATTTTTAAGTAGAATCTGGTCATGGCTCTTGTGTTTGGTTATCTAACTGCTCCTTAACTTTCTGTTGAAAAATAAATTGCAGTCAGACACCAAAGTACTTTTTCTCTGACTAGTCCCTGTAATTTGCAACCATCATTGTATTCAAAGCCTCCTCTTGCACAACAATTTAAGCTCTTTTGATTTAAAATGGTAAATGACCAGTACAGAACTTTCCTTTTTTGGCAAGCAGGGTTTAAGCTTTGGCCCTGTCATTGCAGTGGATACTGCTCTGGTGATATCCTATATGGCAAGCAAAAGTTGTTGACGGCACCATACAGAAGTGTTTTTATTTTGCTGCCTTTCCATATCAATGTATTCAAATACCTGATGGGGTGGAGTAGTAGAACACAAAAGACAGAATCATCTCAGTGATACTTGGTGACAGAAAAGGCAGCAGACACAAATGGAAATAGAGGAACCTCCATTTTTTACTGGGGGAATGGTCAGACACTGAAACAAATTGCTCAGAGAGCTTGTGAAGTCTTCATGCTTAGAGATATTCAAAATCCAGATGGACACAGTCCTGGACAACCTGCTCTAGCTGACCTTGCACTAAGCAGGGCGTTGGGTAGAAGATCTCCAGAGATCTCTTCCTCAAACTTTTTCCTCATCCTGTGATTCTGCGGCCACAGAAATACCAACTTCTCTTAACCATCCCAATTAATCTTTCACTATCATGACAGGGCAATTATTTTCTTTCCAAGCTCATTATGCCTTTGGGGTGTCAACTTTTACAGTGTGGATGACATTCAGCTGCTAAACATAGGTACTTACAGCCATTTAAGGCACCTTAGGGTATCCAAGACAACTGAAGGTTGTGACTGGGTTTTATAAGACTTGTAGAGGACTCATGTCCTTCTGGAGTAACTGGTGGAAGCCAAGAGGCCATCATAGTGCCTAAAATCATGCAATTTAATTATACTTAGAAGGATGAATGCAGCTAGTTTGTAATGTTCAAGACATGTCCAAGTCATTTTGACCTGAGCAAGGAATGAACTAATCATCTAAGCATGGAATAAAAATTACATTGGGCAACTCCTCCTATCAATACCTTTTAGTCACTTGTGTTTTGATTTGTCTCACCATCGGACATCTGTGGTCACCATGTGATAAATGACAGAGAGAAATAAACATTCTCAGGGTGCTATTCATCTGATCTGTTCCAAGCATATGGTCTACACATATGATTCATGGGTTACCTACATTCAAGTCTCTATTCTGATGAGTTCTCATCTGTTAACACCAGAAAGAACAGGTTTCATGACTCATGAGGAAATGTTTCCTACATATCATGGCCTGGACTGCCTCACACCTTCAATATTCATCTTCACTACATTACCTTCAATACCAGAAATGTGGCACTTGTCCTGTGTGAGCTGCAACTTTGGAATTTTAAATGAGCGTAATTGAATTCAAAGACTTCTGGTTTTCCTCCTTTTTCAGCTATAAAATTCTCAGTGACCAGTTTGAAAGAGGCTTGTTTGTGGAGGATCTGGTTGACTTTTAAATTTTAACAAAAGTAGGCAATTGTTTGCATCACACGGGTAGGGTCACTGCCCTAAGCTGGAAGACACTGTGCTTGACT